TAGATTTTGATAAAAATTGATTAAATGTGTGGTTGAAAAGTTGTGGATTCATGAAATGTATTTTTAAAATTAATTGTTTTTAATTGACTTAAGATTTTAATTCAAACCAAACGGAACTTAAGAAAATGGTGATTTTATTGTGGCCAAGAAAAATTGTAGCACTCTATGACTAAGTCAGACAATTTATAATGCCATCTTCCTCTATAATACCTTTGTCCTCTTCTTTTAAGACAAATAATTTTGTACACATACGTTGACCAAGGACGGATGTAATCCGATCCAGTCTTCAACCTACTAAATTTTTTTTATAGAATAATTTTATTTTATTTTTACGTATTAGTCTTGTAATTCTGTCATGGATCCGTTCTTGACATTGACAAATGACATACATATGTCGCTTGATTTGAATTTCTGAGTCTATCTATATAGAATTTGTAGCAGAGTTTTACATTAAATTTAACAACAAAAGGAAAATGAGAATAGGGACTATGCTTGGAGTGACTTATTTTAAAGATGAACTCTAAAACTATTACTTATTTTAATTATGGGCGGATTATCGTAAACCCAAGTCGCACATTTATTGTTTATGTTTAAGATAAGCAAACCCAAGCATGCACGGGGCAAAATAAAGGCATTTTTATGGAACCTTTCGCTGGGAATTCTAAAGGCGGTTTTTTCATTATCCTTTTCTTTTTATTAGGAAAAAAAAATGTTTTTTTGCTTACTTTATACAATGATTTTCTGTACAAAACAGTAAACTCAAGTGAGAGGATTAATTTTATCCGGTTGAACAAGAACCGTATAGTTATCCATATTAATTTAATCCTCATTACTGAATGAATTTTATCCATTAAACCGACGATTTGAGTTCAATTGGATCTACCAAATCCCCCTTGTTGTATACTTTTTAAACTTGTAATATGTTAGATCCGTTTTTAATTATTATCGAAAAATAATTAATTTAGTAAATAAGTAAAAAAGCATAAAATAGTCACACAAGGAATTTGACATGGTTCAACAACTGCCTCTATTCATGTTCACGTCCAGTTATTAAATAATGCACCAAGTTAAAACAGATGACCACAAAATCGTGCTTAAACAAATAGAGACACTTTTTAACATTGACGACATTTTGTAAAATCAATTCTTGGACTGGTTCAACCAAGACCAATCATTTTGTTGATTTGACATTGAACTCCCTCCAAAAGTGCTAATTTTCTTTTTCTAGAACATGATGACTTTTCTTGAAGATTTCAGAAGAAATTGAGATTTGTTGTCCAATTTACCGTGCATCCAATTGCAAATTGATGCATCATGAAAAATTAAAGTTGCCATCAATTTTAATTTTTCATAATGGTGTCCATGCACTTAAAATATTTTCAAGTTCAAAATCAAGAACCCCAAACCAATTTGGTTTTCTTGAAGCTATTAGAATTTTTGCTTACAAGGATGGATGAATAGTTTAGAAAAACATGAATGAATTTCAATGGAACTAGATAATCTTTTTCCTCACTAGAAGGAATGATATAAGATAAAAATATATGAAAGAAGACTCGAATTTTTTAAAAGACGATAATTTTTGAACATGGTCATATTACAACTTAGGTTGCAACGTGACACAGATCTTCGAAAAGGAGATGAAACCTTCTCACCTAATGCACTTAAGTCAAAATTACATTTTTATAGAATTTTTTTTTTGTAAAGCCACAAAAGTTATTATTTAAAAGATTACTTATTGTTATGTCTCGCTGCCAAGGCTCCAATTGAATATCATGTCATAGTTCACATGGTGATGTAAGTCAAATCTGACTAAGTCAACAAAGACCCATGGGTCAGAATAAATAAGTCAAAGAAATAACTGATGCTAAACTCTTGTTGTCTTTTAAAGAATCCGCATGCAATCTTTATGAATGATTGATGTAACGTTACTAATGATAGATGTCAGGGTTGTCAGCCTAGGGTAAAGGGTGGTTGATTCGTTGTCAATGTATTAAATGCATAACAGACTGAGTGATTTGAGATTTCAGCCTGGGAGATAAGGCCACGTGGTTCTTATCTAAAGGCTACCACGTCGGCCAGAACCCTATAAATAAGCAACTTTTGTAACATTTGTTCCTAATGCAACTCTTGATACTAAAAACCACATTCAATCGTCTCTCTTGCTTATTTTATATTTATGTACTTGAGTTAAGATCATTCCTATTTTAGTTGAGTTGTATGTGATTGTTTGTTTATATGCAATCATCTTTGAATATGTTGTCGGTGTTTGGACATTTTTGTCTCGTATCATAGAGTACACTCACGTTCATAAACCCCATCCTTTCCCGTCCGAAACTCCAATCAAAACGTGTGAAAATTTGCTTATGTGAACGCGAGTGTGCCCGACATCCATTGTCCACGTAACCATTATAAAAAATGGGGTCAACACTTATCTTCTAAGTATTCAACTATATATTTTGTCTTCAACCATTGGAGGTACTCATGAAAGAGATTTTCTATTTATATGCAGAAGAATAAATTATAAATCTATTATAAATGGTAGTTGATTTTTGTTTTTTTTTGTAAGATTAACTCTATCAAGAGGTACAATAACAAATGTCCACAAGAATTTGTGTGGTTTGCATCATTAAAGAGACATTTTTGGTTTTTTTGTAAGATTAATTCTATCAAGAGGTACAATAACAAATGTCCACAAGAATTTGTGTGGTTTGCATCATTAAAGAGAGCGTGCGTGATTTCATGAATCTTGAACTTTTACTTTATCTTTGTGTTATTTTATGAACGAGGATGGAACCCCATTTTAGTTAAGCATTAGGAAGATTTGTAATAAGTGCAATGTACGAGGTTGTAGCGTACGTCCAATAAAACATATAATCATTTAGTTATTTTGAAAATTGTGAAGTCTATTAGGAGTGTTATCCCAAATGGTAAAAATATAGCATCCCATGCTTTGTCGTCAGTTTTCTATTTATATAAATTCTGTCAAGGTCAAAAAAATCTCAACAAGGAAAAACCCAAAAGGTATCGTTATAAAAGATATTAATTTCCTCCATTTCCTCTCTCTGCTACTTTTACATGAAATCCCTCATGCCCATGCCACCAGCGTTCACGATCGAACTCTCCATAAAATTCATAATTAAATTACTTATAGCTTCTTTGTTCATAGTAATAGAGAATTCAGAATTATCTCTTACTTTAAGGCATAACTTGTATCCATACACCTTATATTCATTTGGAGTTTGCTCTCGTAAATATTGTCATCCCTCTCCCTCACGTCAATCCCATGAGCCTCTTATTATTATTATTATTATTTTATAAATTTTTTTTATCTCCAGCCAATCCCAACGAAGGAAGGAATGGAGTTCTGGTTTTGGAGTCGTCACATAAAAAAATGCTTGGCAATTCCTTAAATTTTTAAACTTAAATTAGCTCAAATCCATCATCCGCAGGCCGCAATAAACGCACCATATCCTTTCAGTCTAAGATCCCTCGTGTTCCATTACACATGCATCAAACTAGTATTTATAAAACCTCGTAGACAAGACTCCAAAAGTACATTTTCTAGATTCAATACCCTTCATTTCATCTCAATTAAAGGATGAAACACATCTTCTCTCACAAATTTTGTGATTATTGTTATTCCTCGCATCTGAGATCTAGTGAAACGAGACCACGTGGACAGACGGTCAACAAGAAAGCCAAAAGAAGACCCAGTAGGTCAAACACACAAAGAACACAAGCAGGCCAAGGTCCTCACACAATGTGCGAAGTTCTCACACTGCACGATGAAGTCCAGGTTGGGCATTTCTTCAAAGACGAAGCTGCTTAAAAAAGTTGAGAGAAAGGAGTTGAAATCCTCCACTTAAGTGAACCATCTCATATCTTTCTAGGCTCTCTACAACTCATCCAAAACTCATAAAATCGACGCTGTCTCTTATAATAGATTTAAAGATATACTAGAAGTAAGTGATGTGACACTTGTAATAAAGTTGTCAGTGTGTCAGCCTGTTGTATAGGGCGGTTGACCTCCTATTAATGTATTAATTGTATTAATACACAGTGATATGATGTCCCAATTTGATAGATGATGCCACATGGTCCTAATCCGACGGACACGACTTTTGCTAATGCAGTATAAATAAGTCATCTTTGTAATTAAAGAGGGGGAATGAAAAATAGGAATCTACAGGATCATATGTTGGAAATAGACATTTGAACTTTTGAAAGAAACATATTAACATTTTCATTTATCCTTTCACATATTCTTGTTTGTTCTTAGATAGATTAGTTTGGTTGCAACTCGGTAATTGTTGTTAGTGCGATTGCTTTCGTTCCACCCGCCGAAGCTCAAACAATTTTGTCTCTCGTCGCAAAGTACCTTCCGCGTCTATTTCCTCATTGTTACCGTCATCATTTCAGTAAGAACGCGTCGGGAATCGTACGGCTTGGTGCGAGTGAGCCAGGCATCTGTTGATTCGTTTTTTAGGGTCAACAATTATAGTTTTCACAATTTTTTAATACAAAAAAAAATTTTAGAGATAAGATTGGCTAATGAAAATGAAAAACTCTCTTTTAAAAGTTCCTTTACTTCTCAAATTTTATGAGATGGGATGGTCATGGAAATATGATATCGAAACAAATAAAAATCTCTTAATAAGTTAAGTCTGTCTACCATCATTAGATTCATTACTGGAAAAAATCACATGTGAATCTTTAAAAGTGAAATAAAAATTCCATCACACACGTAAAACACGGCTACTATTGCATCAAGAAAAAAAATTAAAAATAAAAACCAGAAATGTAGAGAAATATTGTAAGCATGCTATTTTTTTTATTAAAATTAACAATTTAATACATTGGAAATCACAGTAGTACACTGTTAGCAAGGGCTTGAGATTATTCTTTATATAATTTTTCTATTTTGAAACAGATTATTCTTTTTATAACTACTGGCAATTGAATGCTCAAATATTTATTTATATTTTAGATTAGTATTCTTCTTAATTAGGATATTTTGCTTTGTAGTCCATCCAGAGCTGATCTACAGTCTTGCCCAGAAGATCAACAAAGTAGCTGTTATTGTAACCATCTCTCATTTTCTTGTTAAGTTCTGCAACAAATCCACCTCTGAGACTGTCGCAATAATCCAAGAATCGTGCAGTGACATCGTAACCGTGATCCCACCTATCTCCTTGCCCGGGTTTCACCCAATGACTTGGTGCATAACCAGCCTTTAGCCTCACATAATCAGCTATACCTGTTAAAGTCATAAAATTTGACTATTAGACGAGATGGTTCAATCATCAAAGAGATGTCACCGTACGAATTGCGAAAATAGGTTTGATATGCACACGTGAGTGAAGACAGAATTTAAGTAGATAAACACTATCTAAATATTGACGGTTTAAACTTTTAGATGAAGTGATTTTAGAATACCTTCTATAAGACCTCCGGGAGCTTGACCATTTCCATTCCATTGCCAAACGTGAGTCATTTCATGATACAAAACTCCAGTGATCTCCGTCTTCACATCACCAGAGTAACCCTGTATGTATCTTGCACTTACGTGAATCTCATTGTTGCTGGCATACGCAACTCCGTCCATATCATCGATGAATAAACTCACTTTCTGGACATTTTTCCTGTCGGCTGGAGTCGTGTCTTGTTGGAAGATTCTCCATATGAAATTCGTAGCTGCATCCAGCGTTTGGATGCTGTATTGTTCCCCAATCTCATTAGTGAATCTAACACCTCCAGGAGTGTTTCCAGCAGTGTTTGTAAATGTATAGTCCACTGCATGGATTCCTTGAATGGCTGCTAGAATTGCCAAGGAAGAGAAACACAGACACAATATTATTGAGTTAGCCATGTTTATAAGGTTTTATGGGTTTTGTGCTGCAGTTATGTGCACTACGATTCATATATATAGATGAATGGACCTTGTTAATGTAGAAATGCACGTAGTGTGAATGAAGCAATTGGTGTCTTCGTTTCTTTTATGAGAAAGAAAAGTAAACAATGACAAATTTGTGATTTCTCTTCTTCTTTTTCCTTAGTAAATGGCCTAGTTTTTTCTTGTATATATTATGCCCATTTGAGCCATCTTATTATCTCATTAAAATAAAAAATGTGATCGTTATCCATCACATCAACATTTAAATTCAAATTTTATATATTTTGTATGGGCCCCAATAACAACTATATTTTTCATTCTCATTCTACAAAAAAATGACTCAAACAGGGCCTATATTTCGTTCTAAGCCCCCGTTTGATCCACATTATTTTTTTCATTATCATTCTTCTGCTCATTTTCAACCACACATTTTTCAATAAAATAATATTTTCCATCACATCAATAACTTTTCCTTCTTTTTCAACCACATATTCCCCAACACATAATTTCAAAAAAAATGCATTATTTCATTTTAATGTGCACCAAACGGGCTCTAAATTTGTATTTTATTTAGCGTGAATAAATACTCCACCCCCTCGTGGTAGTTTAACCTTCCCACTCCAACCCGCTGACTCAAAAACAAGCCTATCTCACTTGAAAGAGAGGAATTGGTAGAGCAAAACAAATAAAATGAATTTGAATCCCCCATATTGCAAACCAAAAGCAAGTAGGGTTATTACTGTTGTCGGTAGACACGGCTCGGGCTTGAATTTTTCTAATTGAACACAGCTCTATTTGTCGAGTACCAGGGGCGGACGCAGAACTTTTACATTGGGGGGGCACAATCGAACTT